GGAGAGCATGTATAGTCCCTTTACATAAAGGGTTGACATTATTTATACAATTATTACAATAATGCAGCACTCTGCATTACAGTAAATCTTCTATATTTTTGTGAATAAAAATTCCAAATGGTAAGCAAGAGTAATATAAGAGGGGCCTGGAGCCATGACTAATGAACAGAGAAAATGTTGTTTTAGTGCCAGGTATGTCTGCATTGTTTATTCTGGACCCTGTTTTGAAATTGGCATCTGTTGAAATTTGTGTGAAATTGGCCAAATTGCCAATTTCTGACCACTTTATTGGGTAGGTGAAATAAGTGAATGGGCGGTTTCTTGTATTCAGAAGTTGACAGACTAGAAGTAAATACGTTTATTCAGGTATACACAAATACAGTTACATAGAGTATCATACATAGCAGTGTATGTATAGAGAACCTAGGATAACCCAGAAAAGTCAGACAAAGTGACTTATTTCCAGTACCTGGCTTGGGCTTGCCATATATGATTTTTGGTATATATTTTTTTTCTCGGTTGTTTGTTGGGCTATCTCATTGAAACTTGGGCAATGTATGATGGAAAGATGCTTCTTAACGTACAACAAAAATAAAAAGACGGACGATAAATAAGGAAGTTCACTTCTCAGCCATTAGCTGCCTCTTTGCAGCATATTTTCGTATGGTTTTTATGGTTGTATTCTCATTTTTGCAGACTCGTTTGATAGAATGGAAGATATATTACAGAAATAGACATGATTTTCATTGCTTTCATGACGAAAAGTACCTTGAAATTGAGCTCAAAGTAGTGGAAATGTTCGATTTTTGCCGATGTTCAATGAACTTTGTGTAAGTCAAGTTGGTTAATTTTATTAAGTGTATTCTAACCTAACCACTCTGTAATCCAGCACACTACGGGTCCCAATGATGCCGGATTTGTGATGGAGGACCTGTAGTATGTACGTAACTTATAAATAAGAAATATTTACATTTTAATTTATAAACAAGAAATATTTACATTTTAATTTATAAATAAGTAGGTAAGCTTATACAGGTATACACAAATACAGTTACAGTGGAACCTTGAAAATCGAACGTACCAAATATCGAACGTTTCGAAAAAAAGACCATTTTTTTGGACAAACTGTACCAAAAATCGAACACGTTTCAAATTTCGGACCGCCGGGTATGGGACCTGTCCACTGGCCCACTCTGTCAGTGTCCCTGCGCAGGCGCCGTGAGCAGTCTAGCTTTGTTATGCTTGAGTGAACACTAACTTGTGCTCTCATTCACACATTTTACGATTATTTCGTTGTTTAGTGCTTGTGGGACTGTGAAATAAGCTGCCATGGGCCCAAAGAAACTTGCTAGTGGTACCCCTGTGGCAAAGAAAGTGAGAAACACCATAGATGTGAAGAAGGAAATAATACAGAAGTATGAGAGTGGTGTGAGACTTGTTGAGCTTGCCAGGATGTATGGGAAAAACAAGTCGACCATCGGTTCTATCCTGGCAAAGAAAGAACAAATCAAGGAAGCTGATGTTGCAAAAGGTGTTAATATGCTAACCAAAAAAAGACCACAAATAGTTGAAGAGGTTGAGAAGTTGTTGCTGGTGTGGATCAAGGATAAAGAGATTGCAGGTGATAGTGTTTCAGAGACGATTATTTGCGAAAAGGCAAGGAAGTTGCATGCCGATCTGGTACAGAAAACTCCTGGAACCAGTGAATTTAAGGCCAGCAGAGGCTGGTTTGAGAGATTTAAGAAGCGTAGTGGCATACACAATGTTGTAAGGCATGGTGAGGCAGCCAGTTCAGACAAACGGGCGGCTGAGAAGTTTGTACAGGAGTTTAAGGGGTACATAGACAGTGAAGAATTCAAACCTGAACAAGTGTTTGTGACAAAACAGGCTTGTTTTGGAAAAAAATGCCAAAAATGACCTTCATCACACAGGAGGAAAAGGCACTGCCAGGACACAAGCCTATGAAAGACAGGCTTACTCTTTTGTTCTGTGCAAATGCTAGTGGTGATTTTAAAGTGAAGCCTTTACTTGTGTATCATTCAGAAAATCCCAGAAAAACAATGCCTTTAAGAACAAGTTATGTGTCTTGTGGAAAGCTAATCATAAGGCATGAGTCACAAGACAAATTTTCAAAGAGTGGGTCAGTGAAGTGTTTGGTCCCAGTGTGAAAAAATACCTCCAGGAAAAGAAATTGCCACTCAAGTGCCTCCTGTTAATGGACAATGCTCCTGCTCATCCTCCAAACGTATTAGACCTCTTGTCTAAGGACTTCAGTTTTATAAAAGTGAAGTTCTTGCCTCCTAACACCACTCCTCTCCTCCAGCCCATGGACCAGCAGGTCATTTCTAACTTCAAAAAAGTCTACACAAAAGCAGTGTTCGAAAAGTGCTTTGAAGTGACCACAGACACTTAAGTTGACCCTAAGAGAGTTCTGGAGGAATCACTTCAGCATCTGCAACTCCATAAGCCTTATAGGTAAGGCTTGGGAGGGAGTGACTTCCAGGACTTTGAACTCTGCTTGGAGACAATTGTGGCCAGATTGTGTCCAAAACAAGGATTTTGAAGTGTTTGAAACTGACCCTGACCCTGACCCAGCTCACCCTCTGCCTGTTGTGGACTCTCTTGTGGCATTGGGGAACACCCTGGGGTTGGAGGTGAGTGGTGAGGATGTGGAAGAGTTGGTGGAGGACCACAGGGAAGAGCTAACCACTGAAGAGCTGCAAGAGCTTCATCTGGAGCAGCATCAGACCACAGCTGAGGAACTTGCTTCAGAGGAGGAAGAAGAGGGAGTGGATGAGGTGCCTTCTTCAAAGATTAAGGAGATTTGTGCCAAGTGGAATGATGTCCAAATGTTTGTGCGGAAGTACCACCCTGAGCAAGCTGAAACAAGCCATCTTTGCAACAAGTTCAGTGACAGAACCATGTCCCATTTTAGGGAAATGTTAAAGAGGCGCCAGAAACAGAGGACTGTGGACAGTTATTTTGTGAGACAGGGGTCCAGTGACTCTCAAGCTGGTCCTAGTGGCATTAAAAGACAGAGAAGGGAAGTAACCCCAGAGAGGGCTTTACCTGAAATCCTCATGGAGGGGGATTCTCCTTCCAAACACTAACCCCAACTCCCTCTCTCCTCCTCCCTATCTTCCAGATGCCATCACCAATCTTCAATAAAGGTAAGTAAAAATGTTATTTTATATTTTATATTATATGTATGTATTATTTTATATGTATGTTATTTTATATGTATGTAAAACTGTAATTAATCTCTATAAAATGTATTTTTTGTGTGAATAATTTTGCGTTTCTGGAACGGATTAATTGTATTTCCATTATTTCTTATGGGAAATATTGATTCGAATTTCAGACTTTTCAAAATTAGAACTAGCTCCTGGAACGGATTAAGTTCAATTTTTGAGGTTTCACTGTATGTACATAGATTATCATACATAACAGCATATGTGTAAAGTACCTAGGATAATCCAAAAAAGTCAGAGTGATTTATTTCCACTGGGGTCCTTTTATATTTACACTTATATTTACTTTTATACTTACACTTTTATATTTACACTTACCTTGGAGGAGATGTTAGTTTAATTAGTTTGATGGAGGAGATGCTGACAGAGGTTTAGGGTGATGGAAGATACGTAGCAGGCTGGCGAATGTTCATTGGCCCGATACACATCCAACAACACTGGAGAGATGCTTTCGTGTCGTTTTTTTTATCGCCTACTCGCTTAACTTACTTGCTACACTGTTAATTCTACACTTTATCGCTGGCTAGCACTGTAGCCTTTACTGATACCTGCTGCTTTAGTATCGTACATATCATAGATTCACTGAATCACTGCAGAAGGCACATTCTCCCCTCTCTTCCTCCTCCACTTTGGTACTTTGCTACGAGTTTTTTCTTGAATTTTATTGCGTTTCTTTCCTTCTTTATCACAGGGCTGGCACTAGAAACTTTCTTTGGGCTCATGGTGGCTTATTTAGCAGTTACAAGCACTAACAACATACGGAATAATACAAAATATATCGCATGTATGCGTGGAATCATCCTCCCTGGCTTGTAAACACTGGCTTTACATGGGCTTAAGCTGCGCAGACATGTTCGGGATGAATGTCCTTAATGAGTTTTTCATCGTTAGCCGAGCCAATATTTTGATGCAAAAACGCATCGGTATCCGATTTTATTGCTATCCGATAGCATCGTTAACTGAGGGTCCACTGTACAGCAGTAACTGCTTTTATGGACTGTTTAATTTTTACATACTAAAATGAGAACCTAGTACTATACTAAATACAATAATTGCAGATATATGTAATGTTAAAATTTATATATGGTGAAATGAGCTTTTGAAGAACTTGTCAGATCAGGTAGAGGATTGTAGGAAGCTGTTCGTTTAGCCAAGTGATAAGACATATGGAAAAAGACACTTATGTACAGTTCAGGACATTTATTACAGGAAACGTTTCGCCACGAGTGGCTTCTTCAGTCCTAGTATTAGGACTGAAGAACACTCGTGGCGAAACGTTTCCTGTAATAAATGTCCTGAACTGTACATAAGTGACTTTTTCCAAATTTTGTCGGTATCACCATACCATTTCCTCACTGATAAGAGATAGCCTAAAAGATTTTTAGCTCATTAATTCTAAAATGAGCATTTGAAGAAAATTATGCTGGCCTTTAAGATCTAGACATCATTATCTATTCATGCTTTACTTCTTCCAGAACTCATTTTTAAGTTAGGCCTTTTAAAGGATTATTGCTCATAAATTTTAGCCACTCTCCATCACTGAAGACTTTCGATGGAAATTTTTAGAAATGCTCAGAAATTCTTTAAAGCAACACTGATGTCACTAAGCGCACAATCTTCATTTACTGGCAATGAAAAATAAAGATGTGATGTAAGGCAGAAAACAATAGTCTTTAATCTCCAACTTCCCTTCCACTATAGCAGTGTTACGGTGGGAAAGTGAGATCAACCAGAATCACCCTCACTCACCCAGACCCCTCCTTCAAATCCTTCCTGTACTGTTCATTCTTGTCCCTTGAATTTTGAAGCTGAGTTTTTCTATTCTGCACATCACTGAAAAAAGAAAAAAGCAATAGCATGACCTGCCCTCCACTGTCCATGAACCTTCACAAAGTACCAAAAAATGTCTGTAATGTCACCTATTTTAATTTGTGCAGCCAGGATTATTTTGGATAACAAGGATATCATTTTATGCCACCACCACCAAAACTATCAAGTCTTTTATTTCTTAAACCACTAGCTGCTTCTCAGACAAGGAACAGGAATGGAGTACTGATGTGACTAACATAACTCCTAGAATTCAGGGTCTTCACACATGCATCGTTGGGGGTTGCCATGTTAAAACCTAATATTAAAAAAAAAAAAAAACAGTTGATCACTGGATATTTCACCAACAAATTTATAAGGTTTATCATGAGTAGAAGGCAACTGTATAAAATGGTTAACTACATATTATTATTATATTTATGGATGAGATGGCCACTAAACCTAGAAGGGGTCATACAGCACCTTGAGAATGGGAGACAATAAGATAAGATTTCGTTCAGATTTTTAACCCCGGAGGGTTAGCCACCCAGGATAACCCAAGAAAGTCAGTGCGTCATCGAGGACTGTCTAACGTATTTTCATTGAGGTCCTCAATCTTGTCCCTCAGGATGCGACCCACATCAGTCGACTAACACCCAGGTACCTATTTGCTGCTAGGTGAGCAGGACAACAGGTGTAAGGAAACGTGTCGAAATGTTTCCACCCGCCGGGAATCGAACCTGGGCCCTCCGTGTGTGTGAAGCGGGAGCTTTAGCTACCAGGTTATCCAAGGGGAGAATCCAATTCTTTGGATCAAGAGCCTTTCATCAGCATCAAGGATCCTCCCTTGAGGGAATTTATTAACTCCTGCAACTGCAGTATTGTTCTTATTAAATTTTGTCATGCTAATTTTACTTTTAAGATTCTTAATAGCTGGTCTTAATTTGAAAATGTTAATGTAAAATGTTGTAAGCCTTGTGTGCTTTGGCTTGGTCAAATCTAATAATTATTAAAATGTTCAGGGGATTACTTAAATTATGAAAAATACTGGTAACACATTTATTAAATATACAAGTTCCCCAAGCAGCACAACCTTTGCTTTAATATTTATCTTTGGAGTCCAAAAAACTACAGGAATGGCTGAATTGCCATACACCAAGCAAAATGTAGTTATTTAAAAAAAAAAAATTATTTTATTTCTGAAATTTTGAGATGAAAGCTGAGTGCATTATTGTTTAACTAATAACCTAACAATGAACCATATATCAGTGATTACAGTTTTTGAGAGTTACTGTGAATAAGACAAGATGCTTTGGCTACAATAAATTCCCAAAATTAACAATATGAGTCTACTACACAAAACTTTAACCAATTTGAAGGGTCATTAGATTTCAAGGTTAGTTCCTAGCAAGTGTTAGCACTGTATGACCCATTCAGGTTTAGCCCTTTCATGTAAAAATAAATAATAACAATATGTACTAATTATAATAATAATATTACAGGAGGCCCTCCACATTCGTGAGGGTTAGGAAATCAAGAACCTCACGAATCTTGAAAATTCGCGAATGTTTGGTGCGCAAATATAATGTAGGGAAATTTAATAATACTGTACTGTAGCGTTCGCAAATGAACAAACAAAACACTGACCACTCGTAAGGCTAGGCAGACGAACTCTGATGGCTTGGGATGGTGATGACGATGATGATGGTGATGATAGTTAGTCATGCAGTTACTGATGACAGCTGAATGAAGGTGATTATATGGAGTGTAACTGAATAGCATGATGAGTCTAGTGTGTGGATTCTAACTCTTCACTGCCGACATCGCTAGAGTCAGAGTTAGCAACGGAATCAGATTCTGCCATGGGTTGAGGTTCAGGTGAGGCGGTAGGAGTAGTGGCAGGGGTCATGGAAGGGGTAGTGGCAGGCATCCTTGTGAAGAACATTGTGATGGGCAACTGAGACTGCATCCTCTTCATGTCTACAGAGTTTTGTAGAGAATTATGTTCCTATTAGTGTCGCTCTTCACCTTCAAAGCCCTCAACATTGATAGGTCTATGTCATAAAAAAATTGTTTGAGCTGTGCTGTCATTCTCATCACTTGCCCTAGGTTTTCAAGGGTGAGGGCTTGAGGTTGACTGGCCTCAGCAACACTCTCCTCTTCTTCATCCTCACTCTCTGCCTGCACAATCTCCAACAATTCTTCATCAATTAGGTCCAGTGTATGTTCTTCAACCAGTTCTTTCACCTCACCCTCCTGCATGTCCTTGAACCCTTCACCACCAACTAGCCTTGCTAACTCCACAGTATTCCTCATGGCTCCGTTAACCTCGTCCTGAGGACCAAATCCAACAAAATCACACACACACACACACACTGGTCACAAAGCCCTCCAACAACCCTTCACTGTCTGAGGGCACAAATCCTTGACACTCTCATGCAGTTGTTAATCTTCGAAGCTCACGAAAGTGGAGGGCTAGCTGTAATAACAATCCTAATCCCAAAAGGTACCCAAGGACTGGCAGAGAGAATGCATAGTTATTTTTTATTTTATTAACCCTTTCAGGGTCGAAAGGCCCTCTCCTAAACTTGTTCTCAGGGTCGTAAATTTTTTGGAAAAAAAAAAAAATGATTTTTTTCTTATGAAATGGCAGAGAATATTTTCCCGGTCATAATGACACCAAAAGTATGAAATTTGATGGAAAACTTACGGAATTATGCTCTCATGAAGTTAGCGGTCTCAACAGTGATGATGCATCTGTGATTTCGCCCACTTTGAGCTCTGTTTTCGGCCAATTTCAGTGTACTAGTCGACAAAAATCATATCTATTTTGCTAGAACTCCATTTTTTCTATCGAATGAGTACAAGAAACCACCAATTTACCAATTTCAAGTATCCAATAAAGTGGTCAGAAATTGGCAATTTTGCCAATTTCACACAAATTTCAGAAGATGCCAATTTCCAAATAGGGTCCAGAATAAATAAGACAGACATTCCTGGCACTAAAATAACATTTCCTCTGTTCATTAGTCACGTCCCCAGGCCCCTCTTGACATCTCTTTTGCTTTCCACTTTGAATTTTTATACTCACAAAAAATAGAAGATTTACTGTTATGCAGACTACCGCATTAGTGTAGAAATGGTAAAAATAATATCAGTGCACTTGTGAAAGAATATCAGACTCACTAGTTGACGTGTATTGGATGCTTGGCATGATTTGTTTACTTTTGAAATTTGGTAAAAATCAAACATTTCTGCTACTTGGAGCTCAATTTCTAGGTACTTTTTCATTATGATACCAATCAAAATCATCTCAATTTTTGTAACATGTCTTCCATTCTATAAAATGAGACCAGAAAAACTAGAATACAACCATAAATACCATATGAAAATACACTGCAAAGTTGCTGTTTTAAACCAAAAACACAGTCGGAGTTTTTTTTTCTCATTATGCACTGTGTGCTGCAGAGTTTTTTATACTGTGCACATTGACCACAGACCCATTCTTTTATATGTAGGCCTAACAGCTTTCTCTCACTAGATTTGAAGGCGCTAGAATTTAGGTGTTCTAGTACGTCAATAACCCTGGTGCGTAAGCCATACTAGTACGTCGGAAACCCTGAAAGGGTTAACACATCAGCTGATTCCCACCAAGGCAGGGTGGCCTGAAAAAGAAAAACTTTCATCATTCACTCCATCACTGTCTTGCCAGAAGGGTGCTTTACACTACAGTTTATAAAACTGCAACTTTAACACCCCTCCTTCAGAGTGCAGACACTGTACTTCCCATCTCTAGAACTCAAGCCTGGCCTGCCAGTTTCCCTGAATCCCTTCATAAATGTTACTTTGCTCACACCCCAACAGCACGTCAACTATTAAAAACCATTTTTGTCTATTCACTCCTATCAAATATGCTCATGCATGCTTGCTGGAAGTCCAAGCCCCTTGTGCACAAAACCTCCTGTACCCCCTACCTCCAACCTTTCCTAGGCTGACCCCTACCCCGCCTTCCCTCCACTACAGATTTATACACTCTCGAAGTCATTCTGTTTGGTTCCTTTCTCTCTTCATGTCCGGACCACCTCAACAACCCTTCCTCAGCCCTCTGGGCAACTCTGCACCTCCTCCTAACTTCCAAACTATGAATTCTCTGCATTATATTCACACCACAAGAGAGAGTGTAAGAATTAAAGGAATAAGTCAGAGTAGGATTCCAGAGGAACAATGAGTTAAGAAGGGAAGGGGATATGTGGAAACACAAGTAAATTATACTTATATAAAAACAGTGAGAGTTGTCAAAACTGCTTTTTTACCCATACACAATTCTCTTGGGAGATCCTGAAGAGATGTTGCAAAGGTTGATAGACAAATTTGGGAGGGCATTCAAAAGAAGGAAATTAAAAGTGAACATAGGAAAGAACAAGGTGATGAGAATAACAGAGTACAGACAATGAAAGATTAGATATCAGATAGGAAAAAGCATGAAAAAAGTGAATATATTCCATTATTTGAGAGTCGACATGTCAGTATACGAGTTTATGAAAGATAAGGTGAACCACAGAATAGACGAAGAGGAAAAGCGCGCATGGTGTGGAGAGCAGACATTATGAGACAGTAGGGTTATCATAAGTATAATTCAAAAGGGTTGTTGAGGTGGTTTGAGTCTTGAACAGTTTATGGTTCAAGGGAGGAAGGGAGTGTTGAAATGTGAGTAAGGAAATATTTACAAATACAGCGGTACCCGAGTTTCATACAGCTCCCAACTCGAACAATTGTAAGTGTATTTTTGGGGGTCTGAAATGAACTAATCTAGTTCACAGTTATTCCTTATGGGAACAAATTTGTTCGGTAACGAATTATGGCCGAAACTCGGGGTACCATTGTAGATTCAACAAAACCAGTTAATTGGACTCGAGTCCCAAATGTGGGAAGTACAGTACCTACACTCAGGACAGTCTCCAGGGAGGGGGGTATTGGCCCCCTTCAGCCCTTTTCACCCTGAGGGGGGGCTGTGTGTTATGCCGGGTAGCAGCCACTGGCATGACGTCATGGTCTGCCACCACACACTATAGTGACTCCTCAGTGCTCATGTGG